GCCTGAATAACCCTCGTGTAATTGATAGGCTTTAAACCCCATTAACCAATAAACTACGTATATAAGGCTTAAAGGTAAGTAAAAACTGAAAGTTATTTGAGCCTAGGTATTTATCAGGGCAACTCCCGGACCAACAAGCCAGGATGAGCTTCCAAACATTAATGCGTTCCAGTGTTACACACACACACACACACACTGATACTCACAGGCTTCCTTTGAATTTCCTGAGTGAGACGTTCTATTGCCTCCTCATTGACCTGAAAGGCTTCTTGTAAAACGTGCAGGACCTGGTCGAGGGAGACGCTGGTGCGGTTAGAAGAGTCTGCAGCGGTCTGGCTACCGGTTGCGGCTGCGGCGGTGACCGCAGGCCCACCTACCGCCCACACACCCTCACCCGAGCACCCCATCAGGAAGTGGACTGAGTACAGAACATCGGTCAGCAGCTCTTCTGTCTGTTGGTGAGCAAGAAAAAATTAGATTTAGATTCCTTATTTCCAATCACTGCATTTACAAAATATACAAAGAGGTAATACATAAGGAGAGAGAGAGAGAGAGAGAGAGAGAGAGAGAACTTAGTTTCCTGTCAGCTAGGGATTCCCCAGGGCTTGATTTCAAGTTTCAACTGTAGTATATTTGTGTGTGAGTGTGTGTGTGTGTGTGTGTGTGTGTGTGTATGTGTGTGTGTGTGTGTGTATGTGTGTGTGTGTGTGTGTGTGTGTGTTGTGTGTGGTGTGTGTGTGTGTGTGTATGTGTGTGTGTGTATGTGGTGTGTGTGTGTGTGTGTGTGTGTGTGTATGTGTGTGTGTGTGTGTGTGTGTGGTGTGTGTGTGTGTGTGTGTGTGTGTGTGTGTGTGTGTGTGTGTGTATGTGTGTGTGTGTATGTGTGTGTGTGTGTGTGTGTGTGTGTGTGTGTGTGTGTGTGTGTGTGTATGTGTGTGTGTGTGTGTGTGTGTGTGTGTGTGTGTGTGTGTGTGTGTATGTGTGTGTGTGTTGTGTGTGTGTGTGTGGTGTGTGGTGTGTGTGTTGTGTGTGTGTAGTGTGTGTGTGTGTGTGTGTGTGTGTGTGTGTGTGTGTGTGTGTGTGTGTGTGTGTGTGTGTGTGTGTGTGTTGTATGTGTGTGTGTGTGTGTGTGTGTGTGTGTGTAGTGTGTGTGTGTGTGTATGTGTGTGTGTGTATGTGTGTGTGTGGTGTGTGTGTGTGTGTGTGTGTGTATGGTGTGTGTGTGTGTGTGTGTGATGTGTGTGTGTGTGTGTGTGTGTGTGTGTGTGTGTGTATGTGTGTGTGTATGTGTGTGTGTGTGTGTGTGTGTGTGTGTGTGTGTGTGTGTGTGTGTGTGTGTGTGTGTGTGTGTGTGTTTTGTGTGTTGTGTGTGTGGGGGTGTGTGTAGTGTGGTGTGTGTGTGTGTGGTGTGTGGTTGTGTGTGTGTGTGTGTTTGTGTGTGTGTGTGTTGTTGTGTGTGTGTGTGTGTATGTGTGTGTGTGTGTGTGTGTGTGTGTGTGTTGGGGTTTTTATGTGTGTGTGTGTATGTGTGTGTGTGTGTGTGTGTGTGTGTATGTGTGTGTGTGTGTGTGTGTGTGTGTGTGTGTGTGTGTGTGTGTGTGTGTGGTGGTGTGTGTTGTGTGTTTTATGTGTGTGTGTGTACTCCCCCTTTTTGTACTCCCCTAGTTGAGGTTGCGGGGGTCGAGGTCCGAGCTCCGGGCCCGCCTCTTCACTGTGTGTGTGTTGTGTGTGTGTTGTATGTGTGTGTGTGTGTGTGTATGTGTGTGTGTGTGTGTGTGTGTGTGTGTGTGTGTGTGTGTGTGTGTGTGTGTGTGTGTTGTGTATGTGTGTGTGTGTGTGTGTGTGTGGGGGTGTGTGTGTGTGTGGGTGTGTGTGTGTGTGTGTGTATGTGTGTGTTTTGTGTGTGTGTGTGTGTGTGTGGTGTGTGTGTGTGTGTACTCACCTAGTTGTACTCACCTAGTTGGGGTTGCGGGGGTCGAGCCCGAGCTCCTGGCCCCCCTCTTCACTGATCGCTACTGGGGTCACTCTCCCTAAAACCGTGAGCTTATCATACCTCTGCTTAAAGCTATGTATGGATCCTGCCTCCACTACATCGCTTCCCAAACTATTTTCCCCTTAACTGACTACTCTGTGGCTGAAGAAATAATTCCCAACATCCCTGTGATTCATCTGTGTTTTTCAACTTCCCCTGTGTCCACTGGTTTTCTGTGTCCAATTCTCTGGAACATCCTGTCTTTGTCCACCTTGTCAATTCCTCTCAGTATTTTTATGTCGTTATCATGTCCCCCTATCTCTCCTGTCCTCCAGTGTCGTCAGGTTGATTTCCCTTAAACCCCTCCTCTAGGGGCATACCTCTTAGCTCTGGACTAGTCTTGTTGCAAACCTTTGCACTTTCTCTAGTTTTTTTACGTGCTTGGCTAGGTGTGGGTTCCAAAACTGGTTTCCGCTCTCCAATTATGGGCCTAAGTACACGGTGTACAGGGTCCTGAACGATTCCTTATTAAGATGTCGGAATGCTGTTCTGATGGTTTGCTAGGCGCCCATATGCTGCAGCAGTTTTTTGATTTATGTGCGCCTTCAGGAGATGTGCCTGGTGTTATATCCACCCCAAGATCTTTTTCCTTGAGTGAGGTTTGTGTCTCTGGCCCCTAGACTGTACTCCGTCTGCGGTTTTTCTTTGCCCTTCCCCAAATTTCTTCATGATTTGGGCATTTGGGTGGGATTGAACTCCAGGAGCCAATTGTGGACCGGTCTGCAGCCTGTCCAGATCCCTTTGCAGTTCTGCCTGGTCTTCGATCGAGTGAATTCTTCTCATCAACTTCACGTCATCTGCAAACAGTGACCCCTCAGAGTTTTTTCCCTTCTGTCATGTCTTCCAAAAATTTCCCAGAAACAGCACTGGTCCTAGACTGACCCTGTGGGACCCGATGGTCACAGGTCCCCAAACCTGACACCTCGCCACGTACCATTACTCGCTGCTGTCTTCCTGACAAATATTCCTGATCCATTGTAGTGCCTTCCCTGTTACCCCTGCTTGTCCTCCAATTTTTGCACTAATCTCTTGTGTGGTACTGTGCCCAAACGCCTTCTTGCAGTCCAAGAAAATGCAACCCACCCACCCCTCTCTCTCTTTGTCTTACTGCTGTTACCTTGTCATAGAACTCCAGTAGGTTTGTGACACAAGGTTTTCCCGTCCCTGAAAACCCAAATGTTGGGTGCTGTTGATGAGATTATTCCTTTCTAGGTGTTTCCCCAAACTCTTCTCCTGACAATCTTCTCCATGACTTTGCATACTATACATGTCAGTGACACTGGTCTGTAGTTTTGTGCTTCATGTCTGTCTCCTTTTTTTAAAGTTGGGACTACATTGCTGTCTTCCATGCCTCAGGCAATCTCCCTGTTTCGATAGATGTATTGAATATTGTTGTTAAGGGTACACATAGCGCCTCTGCCCCCTCTCTCAGGACCATGGAGAGAGATGTTATCTGGCCCCATTGCCTTTGGGGTACCCTTAGCTCACCAGAAGCCTCTTCACTTCTTCCTCGGTTTGTGTGCACTGTGTCCAGCACATGGTGGTGTACCCACCTCTCGTCTTTCTGGAGCCCTTCTGTCTCCTCTGTGAACACTTTTTTGAATCTCTTGTTGAGTTCCTCACATACTTCACGGTCATTTCTTGTTGTCTCTCCTCATTCCTTCCTTGCCTGTGGTGTGTGTGTGTGTACTCACCTAATTGTGGTTGCAGGGGTCGAGACTCAGCTCCGGGCCCCGCCTCTTCACTGATCGTGTTGTGTGTGTGTGTGTGGTGTGTGTGTGTGTGTGTGTGTGTGTGTGTGTGACCTATAAAGGTCATACAGAGCCTTGGGAACGGAGAGGTAATCAGGTTTGATCGGAGAAGAGGAAGTCAACTCCTGACGTTTAGATTTGCCAGTCTCAGTTTCTCGCGACACCTTCCCTATCCTACATTGATTTCTCTCATCAGATTTCTTTACCCAAATAATATTGACTCAGTTTCATTAACCCTTAACTACTATTAACCATTATCAACCATTTATTAACCATTTATGAATAATTATTAACCATTTGTTAACCATTATTACCCATTTATGAATCATTATTAACCATTTATTAACCATTAGCTAAAGGAATGAAGATGCAAGGTAGCATCACAAATGACGTGGTACCTAAATACTGAACAAAGTTGGCCAGTAGCGCTGTTATGTCTTGCAAGCATAATGACAATGGTTCGATTCCCGGCCTGGGAGACTTATAATGAAGCTTCCTTACACCTACTGCCACTGTATCTGGGCGGTAACCAACTGTTGTGGGTGGCATGCTGCGGGACACCATCATACCATGAAGAAGAGCTAGTGCGACACACGCCAACTGGTCAGCATTCAGTTGTCTACTTAATGCTACGTACAGACCCAGGTATCTTCACCTACGAGTCGATTGCGCTACCACTTAAGACACCAGCAACCATAGCTATCAACCTAGTGGTTGACAGCTATGGTTGACGAACGTAAATAATGTCTCTGCAAGTAAAGTGAACTTTGTAAAAACAGAATAATTGCTTCGTGCATGAGATAATGGAGAAAAAATAAGATGAAGGAGAAGGGTGTGGAGTGTAGACAGAGGGTGGAGTGTAGACAGAGACTCGTAACTTGTCTAGTGTCAGCACGAACAATGAGGACCATGGACAAGGATGACTGGTGGCCTCCCTGTTACTGCCCGCATCTGGGCATCGCCCCATACATTACGTTTTCGTGTTTTTACGTAACCACGAAGTGACCTTGCAACTCTCACACTGCCCCGCGATGATATTACTGACGCTACCTTGGTGCAGGTCAGGCTGGGAAAACTCTCTCATAAGAGGCGGATAACCATTGTAAAGAAACATAGACTTTATCCCAGCAACATTTCCTTCGCTAAAGAGCTTTATGAAACCATGGTTTTATGAATCTCAAAACTGAGCTCTATCAGTCTTCGTCAGCTTTATCAAGGTCTTTACCGGCTCTGAAAGATATGTCTTTTTAAACGAGACTTTTCGCCTTACATTTGCAGTGGATTCTTGCAATAAATTCAATATGAAATTGAAAGTAAACAATAAACAAAATCGATGATGTCAACTTTATATTACTGAGACGATTATTTTTAAAGGTGCCGCAGCTACTGAACCCACCGTAAACTGAAGGCATTCTTAACATCCTGCGAAGTCACCCAGCACAGGTTGACAGATATCACTATCAGGTGTATCAAAGCCATCCTGCGTAAATATGACAGAGAAACCAAGCTAGTTCCTTTTTTTCATAATGTAACAATAGAATGCAACCATGATAACTGCATAATGTGTGTATAAAAACTTGAGTAAAAATGGTTGTCAGATGAGCAGGATTGGTTTTAAAATATGGCTGAAGTACAAAAGAAAACGAAGGGAGAGTGAGAGAGAAGCCATTCATACGTAAATCCTGCATGTCTTGGGTGTCAGAATTAGCTCTTGTCCCACTGTCATCAGTAGTTTGGAAATAACCGTAATGAACAGTTGTAGCCGAGTTCTGTGTTAAAACTAGCAACTGGCGGCTATGTTATCCATGGCGTCAAGGTTCCAGTTGGTGGCTCGTTCCTGAATTCAATACTGTAGGTTCATGTGCCTAGCTCTGAGACCGGTTTAGGCGCATTTTTTTTTTTTGTCTTAGCTCAAACTCCCAATAAACATTTAAACATTCTTTCTTCTCTCTCTCTCTCTCTCTCTCTCTCTCTCTCTCTCTCTCTCTCTCTCTCTCTCTCTCTTCTCTCTCTCTCTCTCTCTCTCTCTCTCTCTCTTTTTACACAGGGTTTGACAAGGTTAAGGATCCCTAGCTTTATTGACAGCTATTTACAGGTTAAGGATTCCTAACTTCATTGGCAAGCTAAGAGCTGTTACCTACATCAGCTCATTTGAAAGCATTTTTATTGTTATGAGACATACAAGTAGGAAACAGGATGAAGTTGGAGCCATCTGTGGGCCAGCATTTTCATTTGATCAACTGACTTTATCTCGTTGACATCATTATGTTGTACGAATGTGTTCCCTACTCGAGTCATCCTGGGTATGTATATCTCAGATGGAGTGATGTTCTGGAGAAGGGTACAGCCAGAGTGAAGTTGCTGCCCTTTTTGCCCGTCTTGTGGCGTAAAAGCTTGTTTCACGCTGTCCCCGAAGTGGATCCAAGTGTGGTATTTTGACAATATTGGCCTTTTACATAACAGTAAGGCCACCACATCCCTCCTATGTTGAAGGCTCTGCTGAAATGACAAAATCTATCCAGGATGGGTCCAGGCGAGAGATGAGACGTCTTGCTCTGTTCTCTACTCTGTCAAGCAGTCGCAGATGAGGGGGGGGCAGGCAAACCAAGGGAAAATGGAGCATACTCAAGGTGTGAGGTACTTGTGCCCCCGTACAGGATTTGCAACCCCTACTGTCAAGCGATGGGAGATACGGCGAAGTGCTGTAAGCTTCCTGGCTGCCTTGTTTGCAAGATTTACAACATGGTTCTTCATGGTTAGTTTGGAGTCAAATTTCACCCCAAGGATATCAACTTCTTCTCCAGGTGCCAACATCCTCCCATTCATCCTTACTACTGCACCAGCATTACCCTCATGGTGCCCAGAGACGATCACATTTGCGTTTTCTCAGGTGCAAATGTTACTTGCCATCTATTTTTCCCCAAGCTGATATAGCTCTCAGCTGGTGATTGATGTAGCTTAGAGCAGCTGGCATTTTTTCTCTTGGATAAGTGAATGTCAGTGTACAGTCGTCTGCATATGCATGTGATTCTGGGATGAGATGAAGAAGGTCGTTGAAGTAGACATTCCATAACAATGGGACCCAGCACGCTTCCTTGTGGAACACTTGCCCCAATAGGATGTCTTGCTGATTCCATTCCATTGAGAATTACACTTAGAGATCTACCCTGAAGGTAATCACTGAGGAGACATAGCGTAGAGCCTTCAATTCCAGTGCTTGAAGTTTTGCTAAGAGGCCCTGGTGCCACACCCGGGCGAAAGCGCCAGCAATGTCCAGTGCTACCACACAGCTGAAATTTGGATTCATCCAGTGACTGGTGCCACTTAGTGGAGAGGTTTTTAACAACAGATTTAGCGCAGAAATAACCCTTTCCCGAAGCCATATTGACGATCACAAAGTAGTGAGTGGTAGTCAAAAAACTCTGTCATTTGTCTTGAGATTATTGTCTCAAGGATCTTACCAGTGATTGACAGGAGTGACACTGGTCTGTAGTTGCTGATTTCTGCTCTGCTCTTCTTTTTGTGAACAGGGACTACATTTGCCTCTTTCCATAGAGAGGGCCATTTACACTGTACTAGGCACTCTGTCTCTCTCTCTCTCTCTCTCTCTCTCTCTCTCTCTCTCTCTCTCTCTCTCTCTCTCTCTGCACATTAATATCACCTTTCGGTTAACTGAATTATTTTTAATTGTAAACTTCAAACAAACTTCAGAGTTACAAGACCAACAACAGAGGTCTGTGAATGAGCAATGACTACCAACAGAAAACAACAGAGCAACGTGAGTGAACAACGACAGCCAACAGACGATAAAGACCACAGGACAGTGAAAAATGGCAGCCAGCTGAAACGTACAAGATAGCAAACAACAGGAGCAACTGAACCATCAATCACTTGCAAGCGATGGAAGCTAACGCAGACATCAGCTACACATGACAGCGAAGAATGGCAGCAACAGCAATGGCAGAGTCGCAAGACAACAAGCAAACAACGAGAGCCATCAGAAACAGCCGGATCGACCACTTGATAGCGAACAACAACAGCCCAACAGAAAGATGAATCACGAGGCAATGACATAATCAGGCTTCCGTGACCATAACAAGGCACCATGACCTATTGCTGTCACATGATATCATTATATGCCACTTTCACATGATAAAGTCACACATTAGTTACGTGTGTGGTGTCACCGTCACATAATACCGTCACATACGAGAGATAAACATTACGTCACGTCGCAAATTAACGTAGAAAAGATTCAGACGCAGACGTTACTTTCGACCCGTCCTCCAGTGGGTACTTGCGACTACCCTTTGAGGTAGTAGTAGCTACCCCTGGGGTTGTGGAGGTTGTAGGTATCCCCTGGGATAGAGGAGGTTATAGTTACTCTCTGGGATAGTGGCATATGCGTGTTGAGTTGGTCTGGTCTAAGGGAGGTTGTGGGTGAATTTAGTGGTCTTGTAAAGAGAGCAATCATAGCAATGCTGGGGCCCTCTGACTCTGTCTAGTGCAGTGAACCACCACCATCACCACTGCTACTACTATTATTACTACTACTATTTCTACTACTACTACTGCTGGTACTACTATTACTACTACTACTGCTGCTACTACTACTAATACTGCTAATACTACTACTACTAGTACTACTGCTGCTGCTGCTGCTACTACTACCACTAGTAGTAGTACTACTACTGGTACTACTACTACTACTACTACCGTGATTCTCATATGATCTACTGCAGTAGTACCTGATCCCTTGACATCTACGCTGGCGATGTTACAATGAAAAGCAGACACGTAGTGGTGGTGATGGTGGTGGTAGTGGTGGTGATGGTGGTAGTGGTGGTGGTGGTGGGTGTTGTGGTGGTAGTGGTGGTGATGGTAGTGGTGGTGGTGGTTGTGGTGGTAGTGGTGGTGATGGTGGTGATTTGGGGGTTTGGGGGTTAAATGGTGGTGAAGGTGGTGATGGTGGGTGGTGGTGGTTGTGGTGGTTGTCGTTTGGGAGTGGTGATGATGTGGTGGTGGTTGTCGTGGTAGTGGTGGTGATGGTGGTGATGGTGGTGATGGTGGTGGTGGTGGTTGTGGTGGTAGTGGTGGGGGGTTGTGGTGGTAGTGGTGGTGATGGTGGTGGTAGTGGTGGTGGCGGTGGTCATTGTTGTAGTGGTAGTGGTGGTGATGGTGGTGATGGTGGTTTGTGGTGGTAAATGGGTGATGGTGGTGGAGTTGTGGTGGTAGTGGTGGTGATGGTGGTGGGGGTTGTGGTGGTAGTGGTGGTGATGGTGGTGGTGGTTGTGGTGGTAGTGGTGGTGATGGTGGTGGTGGTTGTGCGTGGTAGTGGTGGTGATGGTGGTGGTGGTTGTGGTAGTAGTAGTGGTGGTGGTGGTTTGGGGGTGGTGGTGGGGGTGGTGGTGGTGGTGGTGGTGGGGGTGGGGTTTGGTGGTGGGGGTGGTAGTGGTGGTGATGGTGGTTTGGGGGTTGTGGTGGTAGTGGTGGTGATGGTGGCTGGGGTTGTGGTGACAAAAGGTGAGGGTAGTGAAGGTAATGGCCTAAAGGTAGGTGGTGGTGGTGTTAGTAGTGATGGTAGTGGGGGGTGTTGGCAGTAGTGGTGGTGTTGGTTAGTGGCAGTGGTGGTAGTGGTGGTAGTGGTGGTAGTGGTGGTAGTGGTGGTAGTGGGGGTAGTGGTGGTAGTGGTGGTGTTGGTGGTGGTAGTTTGGGGGTGGTGGGTGTGGTGGTGGGTGTGGTGGTGGGTGTGGTGGTGATGTTGGGTTGGCGTAGTGGTAGTGGGGGGTTTTGGTGGTAGTGGTGTGTTTTTGGTTGTGGTGTGGTGGGGGTTGTGGTGATGGGTTTGTGGGATGGTAATGGTGTGGGTGGTGGTAGTGGTGGTGTTGGTAGTGGGTGGTGGTAATGGTAGGAGTGGTGATGTTGGTTAGTGCTGGTGGTGGTGGTTTGTGGGTAGAGGTGAGGGTGGTAAAAGTAATGATTGAACGGGAGGTGGTGGTGGTGGTGGTGGTGGTGGTGGTTGCCGCATTTTTTTTTATTCCTAATATCTATCAGACTCTGGTTGTGGGTTGTTATCTATTCACCTTTTATGTTTTCTCTTATATATTTGTTTTAATTTTTATACATAACTATACAAATATAAACTTTGACTCTTGTATTCACTTTGTATATTTATGCTTATTGAAATCTATGTATTCTTGAGTTGTATGATATAGTCAGTGTGTAAGTTATTACCACTGTACATTCTACTGTCAGTTCCATAAAGCAACAACAAACAGCATCATCGGTGTATTCTGTTCCACCTTGATATACATGAAAGAAATACCTGACATTCGAAGAATGCAAGTACGGCGTTGCTGACGGTGCTGCTGCTGCTTCTCCTGCTGTGGTTATCGCTACCCTCAAAAAACCCGCTGCTTAAACTGCTTCGTAAACTCTTGTCGCTTTCATCGTCGTTGCTGTTGTTGTTGTCGTCGTCGTCGTCGTCGTCGCCGTCGAATTTCACGAGTTCTTTGACACTGAGAAAGAGTGGCTTCTCCTGCTCGACCACAATGAAGTCCATTTCATCTCTCATGATCAGCCCGCAGGTCCTGTGTAAGGTCTTCCTACTGCGCCTCCTCGTGTTTCTCTTGCTGGGGGACCTGTAGAAGGTGCTCCTCAACACACTGGTGTCTATATGAACATTTTTGTGGCGCCTGGGTTGGTAGCTGCCAAAGATGGCCATGCGGGACTCCTGCAACTCTCTGCCGATGATAATTTGCTCCATTGGGCTAAGTAAAGAGATACAAGTTCCAGGAAAAACAATATCACTCGACTGATAGCGGGAAAGGAGCTGATGTTTCACTCAGGGCCAGAGAGATACTGAACTCCTGGCGTGAGGAGCATCTCTCTAATACCAACTGAGAACACACACCGCAACAAAGTGGTTGGGAAATACACACATCCTCTACGAATGTCTGGGCCACCGCGAAACGTTTCGGGACGTCTCCCCTAGTGTGTTTGTAATACCACGGTCGACTCGGACGAAAGCCGCGTGACAGCTGCCACCTAGACATTTCCTCTTTACATTCTGGTGCTTGTTTATGGACTGGGGATTTGTTTTTATCTGTAGCATGACAGAAAAAGAGCATTATTAGTGTGAGCAAGTCAAACACTTCTTTTATGCTCCTTAAGTCCGTCAGAAAGAGAGAGGCCAGTTTTACCAAAGTACTGGGATAGGAGCAGGAAATGGAGTAACCATCGGAAACTTCAGTGGCAGGATAAATATAAACTAACTTGAAATTAAGAATGTTAGTTTGGTATCTAAAAGACAGAGAGTGATGCTAAGATTAAGAAGACTGGAGATGTAGGGAAGGCAAAGAATATGAGATTTCAAGGAAGAAGGAAGTTTGGGAGAGAAGAAAATCAGTTTAGCATAAGAATAGGTAAATTTTATGAAATAGAAAGGACAGCCAAGGTGAGAAAACGAGCTGCAAAAAAAGGCAATTTCGAGTTCGAGGAGAAAATGAGGGTCACAGACTAGGAGGGCGAGGAGGGAGAAGAGAAACAGAGGGAGTATGTAAGATATATGGTGAATGGACATGTCACAATGTGCAATTTGGCTTGCGACCAACGGGAAAAAGAAAAGCATGTCGTCGAGGGAGAACTTGTACGCCCAAGATATGTGAAGCACAAAGAGTACTTCACATTCAACTGTGAACTTGATGAAGGGAGCAAGGATTGTTAGTAGTACGAGCGAAAAGGTTGGAAGAGGACTCGAGTCCTTGCTGGCTAAGTTTAGCAAATAGACATCATTCAAATATAGCTAAAGCCAGAGGGTAGAGCACGCACAACAAGGATAAGAAGTAGACCAGTTTCCGAAATACTCTATTTTAAAGGCTAGCAATAACAGGAAATAGTCGGAGAGCCCATAGACAACACCTAAGGTTTGTGAATAAATATTTTACCTTGAATGGAAAACGAGTTCAAGGCCAACAAAGACGAATTAAATAAAAAGAAACATAACGTGTGTATAGGAGTGATGTAGCCCAGGGACTGGCCTTCACTCTGAGAAACCGAATAAACAATCATGAAGAGGGACTCACGTCAAAAACTTAGCAAATTACAAGTCGGATTGTATGACCAAACAAGTTCATGTGAAGTCTTGGGATTGATGGAGGTGAGCAAGAAGAAAGGGAACAAGAAAGGAGTGAGAGTTTTGACACAACCAAGAGGCAAGAGTACATAAGAGACAGGACAATCTGGAGGGAAATGATGGGTCTGTTATTGCGTTATTTATGTCTTGTTCAAACAGTGTCAAGATCATATAATAGAGGCTGCTTTCAGATGCTTGCATTTGTTTTGTTTTCCGCCTGGTAAAAAACTATAGTGATGCCCCATAGTTCACAATGTGTGAGCGTCGATTGCTGTGAACCAGGCAGGTGTTGTTGATATCGTCTGTCCTGTAAGCATGTTTGCGTTCATTCAGTCAAGTCTAGAATTCACTGTCTGTCTCACCAATGGAAACATTACTACATCTTCCACGTGGAATGCTGGAATTCCCTGCAGCAGTGGTACTCATCTATCTGCAAGGTTTAGGGATGTTTTTGGTATTTTTCTGACTACCACAGCAATGTCCATGATGACTGAAAGATGGGAGAGAAAGAGAGGTGATGATGGACGTAACCTGACCTCTGGGGGGGACAAGACGATGATCAGTGTTGGCATTTTCAATATGAATGATGTTGATAAGTAAGACTTTCTTTTTGCAGAAACATATGAAATGCAGTGAGAAGTTAAGAGCTGTGAAGGTATCCTCATTATATTTCTGTCTCTCCTAAAGAAATTCTTTCTTAGTAAGCCCAAGTGCATGAGAAAAAAAAAGCTATGACCCTCTTTTAGTTCAAGGGCCAAAAATAATGGTGTACCTAAATTCATTTCTAATTGGTGGGAATTTTCGATAAACCTTGGAAGTGTTTCCTTCCTTGACGAGAAAGACAACAAGAAAGGGTAATGAGTTATTCTTTTCTTCTTCAAGAGTAAACTCTATTGTGGGTTCCCCCGATTTTACTCTGAAGATGAAAGCATTCGAGGGACCTATGACCAAGTTGTAATCAACACAACTCAGTTATGTGTTGTTGAGAGTGAAGAATCTTAAAGCAAGTTTCTGGTGCTCGAAGGTAGAGGTTGGTTCTGGAAGGGTGCTGAGCGGTATAGGTGTTAAACCTTTGCTGGGCCATATTTCTGTTTGAACTAACACCTAACTCAATGACATCCAGAAAGGGTTCATATTAAATCATTTTTCGAGGAGGAACAGAAATACACTGAGGACACCTTCACAGCCCTTAAGCTTCCACTACACATCATCCACCCCTACGAAAAAGTAAGCCTTACTCATCCACAAAACTCCCACTGAAAACAACAACACTGATCCTCGCCTTGTCATCCTCAGTGGACAGGTTACCACCACTGTCACCCCCTTCACCCCACCCCCTCATCTTTCGAATAACCATCATGGACATTGCTGTCGAAACCAATAGAACCACTAACGACACCAGACCTAGCAGACCCAAGAGCTCTACTGCTTCAGGAGTTTACATCTTTCAGTAAGGTTTACATTGATGAAATAGGAAGTGACCTTCAGAGTCGCCTACAAGAACACAGTTGTTTACAGGATGGAAGATATCAATCAACGCGTCCGTCGTTCACCAAACTCACGTCATGAACCATGGAGCAGCACTGTAGTTGTATCCGGAGGAAAAGGGGGTTCTGGAGGCAGCCATTATTTATTTAAGTGACATTATCAAACAAAACAAGGGAATGTACACACAGGCCGGTCCTATCACTCATACTGTACTGGACCCCTCGACCTCCCCCCCTTCCTCCCTCCCATCCACACATCGACATCAGCTATGTATATTGTTCAACCTGTCTTTCTCTCTCTCTCTCTCTCTCTCTCTCTCTCTCTCTCAAGACTCTATCTCTCTCTCTCTCTCTATCTCTCTCTCTCTCTCTCTCTCTCTCTCTCTCGCTCTCTCTCTCTCTCTCTCCATGACTTCACTTGTGACCTTTCTTTAGTCTGACTTCAGAGTGGTGCATCTTCAGAGTCGTGTATCTGAGAGTTTTTGTACTCTTGAGAAATCCAGTCTTCGGCGAAACATCGAAAAAAATATTCCTCGCAAACGCAGTGTTTACCTCACCACCTGTCGCCCCAGGTAGATCAGTCAGAGCACCAGAAGAGTCACCACTTCGGAAAAGACACATCTTTTACCCATGGTTGCTGTTCATCTCAAAATAACGACCCGGTTGCTTCCGTTGTTGCTACTGCTCCTGTTGTTGATATTGCTTTCGTTGCTACTACTGCTCCTGTTGTTGCTATTGCGTCTGTTGCTGCTGTTGTTGCTATTGCTTCCGTTGCTGCTGCTGCTCCTTCTGTTGTTGCTATTGCTTCCCTTGCTGCTACTGCTTCCGTTGCTGCTACTGCTTCTGTTGCTGCTACTGCTTCCGTTTTGCTACTGCTTCCGTTGCTGTTGCTATTGCTTCCGTTGCTGCTACTGTTCCTGTTGCTACTACTGCTCATGCTGTTCCTGCTGCTTCTGGTGGTACTACTGCTTCTGTTCCTGCTACTGCTTCCTGTTGCTGTTACTGCTCCTGCTGTTGCTGCTATTGCTTCGGTTGTTGCTACTGTTCCTGTTGCTGCTACGATTCCTGTTGCTGCTAATGTTATTTGCTGTTGCTAGGATGATGATGTTGCTGGATATTAGTGTTACAGTATGATGATTACAGTGCTGGTGGTAGTGCTGCTTGTGGTTCTATTGCTGCTGCATGATGATGATAATGATTTATTGCTGCCGCTTTGATGCTTGCTTAGGTTGCTGCTGTGAACTCATCCGTTGCTGTTGTTGTTGCTGCTGCTTAACGTTGCTGTTGTTGCTGCTGCTGTGCCTCATACCGTTTGCTGTTGTTGATGTGTGTCATTACCGTTGCTGTTGTTTTGTTGGCTGCTACTCATACCGTTGCTGTTGTTGCTGCTAATCTACGTTGATGTTGTTGCTGCTGTACTCATACGTTGGTTGTTGGTTTGCTGCTGCTGCTCATACCGTTGTTGTTGGTGCTGCGGCTACTCATACCGTTTTGCTGTTATTGCTGCTGCTGCTGATCATACCGTTGTTGTTGTTGCTGCTGCTACTTCACACCGTTGTGTGTTGCTGCTGCTGCTCATACCGTTGTTGTTGTTGCTGCCTGCTACTCATACCGTTGCTGTTTGTTTGCTGCTGCTACTCATTACCGTTGCTGTTTGTTGCTGCTTGCTACTCATACCAGTTGCTGTTGGTTGTCTGCTGTGCTCCATACACTTGCTGTTGTTGCTGCTGCTGCTCGTTTTTACCGTTCCGTTTTCTGCTGATGCTTCATACCGTTGCTGTTGCTGTCATACCATTGCTGTTTGTGCTGCTGCGCTGCTCATTCCCGTTGCTGTTGTTGCTTCTTGCTGCTCATTCGTAGCCTGCTGCTTGCTCATTACCGTTGCTGCTGTTGTTGACGCTGCTCATACGGTTGCTGGTGTTGCTGCTGCTACTCATACCGTTCACCTGCTGTTGTTGTTGCTGCTGCCTTCATACCGTTGTTGACACTGCTCATGACGGTGGCTGTTGTTGCTGATGACTACTCATACCGTTCCTGATGTTGTTGCCGCTGGATCATACCGTTGCTGTTGTTATTGTTGCTGCTGCTCATGCCGTTGTTGCTGTGGCTTCTGCTATTTTTGTTGTTGCTGTTGCTGTCTTCCCTGGCCTCACAACATCTGTGGTCGCCGAGGGTGGGTTCAACACTCGAGTTCGTCAATTCTGTCAGAACGTTCGTCCGGCTCACAGGAAGTGGCCTCTCATGTTGCAACAAATCCTTCTAGTGTTGTTCTTTTTAGTCGAAACGTTTTGTAACGGTTAGCTTTTAGTTACTGTGTTGCGGCACGTTTAGTCCATGTATTGTGGCCAC